GGGCCTACAGGAAAGATGGAGAGGGACTTTTTACAAGGGTGTGTAGTGATAGGACAAGGGGCAATGGATTTAAACTGAAAGAGGGCAGATTTAGGTTAGATATAAGAAAGAAATTTTTCACTCTGAGAGTGGTGAGGCAGTGGAACAGGTTGCCCAGAGAAGTTGTGGATGCCCCATCCCTGGCAGTATTCAAGGCCAGGTTGGATGAGGCTTTGGGCAACCTGATGTAGTGGAGGGTGTCTCTGCCCATGACAGGGGGGTTGGAACTAGATGATCTTTGAGGTCCCTTCCAACCCTAACCATTCTATGATAATATGCTAAAGTTGTAAACAAAATGCATTTATGAATTAGGAGATTCAAGTTTCAGATATTGTATTTGCCTGCTGTTTATGATCTGAAAATTGATCTTACTGGGATCACAACACAATTAGTGTTATTGCAATATAGCTAGTCCCTGTGTATTGTGAAATACAGCCAAGAGAAATTAATGGCTACTTTTGGTTACATAAATTTATTCCTATTTCTTTAAAAGCCTGTTATTACTTTTTAGAATTTGTTCCGCATATACTGAGATGTCTTATCTCTAACATGAATAAAACATATGCTTGATTTTTGTTTACCCTAGCATTCCCTCTAAAGATTTAAAATGCATCAGTTATTATCCATACCATTCTTCGATAATGAGGATTACCTATGGACAATCCTTCCACTTCGCTGTGGCATTTGTTTTGAGAAAGCTATGGACCTAAAGATTCTCCTTAAAGATCTATTCAAATGTGCAAGGACAAGGGTCAAACAGGAGAGAAATCTGGATGCAAACCCAGCATGGAGAGTGCCATGAGTTGTAGTTTCAAAGAGCCACCAGTTAAGACTGCTTTGGGAAGCATATAATGTGCAGTGAATGCTCTCAGTGCTTGCAGAGTTTTTTATTTAAGTCTATGTTGAAAACATAATGGGCGTAGTTCACAATGCACGTGTCCTAGATCCTACCTACCTGCCCTCTACATGCTTAAATTCAATGTTTAAATTCTCCTAACTCTTGCTCACGAAAAAAAAAGTTAAGAACAATAGACACCAAACTTTTCTTGAGCAATAAATATCGATAAACACCCTAATGAGTCACCCAGTGCATGACCAGAAACATCTGAAATAGGAAGGTGTGGGGACAGAATATGTCTACGTTAGCAACCAAACCAGGCCAGGACCCATGGTCTGCCCCAGGGGCAGGTAGCATGGCGCAGCTCTCAGCTAAACTCACTTCCCTCCAGAACTGGAGAGCTTCATCCATCCCGTCTGCAAGGAAGAGCCCCTGATCAGGGGCATTGTCTGGGAGATCACTGTGTGGCACAGGTCAAGATGGTGCCGAGGAGCATGCTACCAGATTAGCAGAAGTTGGCAGTGCTTGTGTCTCCTCTGCCGTGGTTTTCTCTAATTTATTGGTACAGATGTGTTCATTAGCTTGCTAAAACTTACTGCTCAGCCAGGATGAGCACTTTTCTGCCAATCCTGTTATGCCTCTTGTTCCTCCTCTAAGAAAATTTTTCTCTGTTTTTCCTCTATCTCATTATTTGAGAGTAAAACTCCCTCAATTTCTCATGTTAAAGGTGTTCTGTTCTTGCCTGGAATAATCACGTATTACATGAGTGGAAGAAAAGAGGAGAGCCAAGGAGTGTGCTTATGTGGTCTAATGTGAAAAACTATTAGCTGGGAGCAGAAAGGCTGAATCCCAGCCTTGTTCCATTCACTGTTGGAATGGGGTCAGTGCATACATGGACCGGTTTAGTTAAACTGGTATATATTGTATCTCCAGTTGTATCATCATGAAGTTCTGTATGGACATCATGGCTGAAATTTGCATTAGAGAGGACAGATGAGGAAGTCAGTCTGCACAACACGCATTTGTTATCTATGCCTGTTTACTTTGGTTATGTGAGAATTTTGTCCAAAGTGTATAAATGCTATTTAGTGTGTATATATTCATCCTAAATTCAAACAATTAAGGCAGCTCCTGTATCTTATAACTATTTTCTTTTGTCATGTCACATCTCTCTGTGAATTAATCTACATTCCATAACAATCCAATTAATAAACATCTGTCAATTTCTGGCAAAATGCAGATGTGCAAATTGAATTAATCAATTCATACTTTTTGAGGTCGGTCTTTCTTATGTTCTTAATATGAGAAATGTGAAAAATCTTTCTTTGACAGGATTACTTGTGAAGTAGATTCAGCCAATTAGCAAATCGAGAAGATTTGCTCTAGAAGAGACCAAGTCAGGCCTGGTGCAAATCATGTCACACTTCTCCAATTCTTTCAAATCCATTTTTTTTTCCAATGCTTTATAATCAGTGAAAACTTCTATGTCCACCAAGGTGCTGTAGTGCCACTATTCAGGCCCAGCAATTTATTTTCAAAGATGAGTGCCTTTGTACCAAGGAAATCAGTAGATAGCGTTCCCTCTAAACATACAGTATCTTCATCACATTAAAGCATTTTTCTGTAATCATGTGTAAATAATAATTAACAATTATATAAAATTAACGGTATATATTTCTGAGTCTGTTAGAGATATTGCTGCATATTGCTTGTAGGCGGGCACAATATTTCTAATACACTTACAGCAGTTTCTAATTAGTATTTTAAAGATTGTCTGCACAATAAAACCTCACAGCTTAGAATTGAATCTGTGGAAGGTCTTGGGGCTCCTACTTTACTTTAAAATACATATACCTAAAATGTAAGTCTTCAGGATCTTCACTCAGTTATTAATTCTTTTAATCAACAAATATTCTATAGCTGTATAAAAATATTGTCTTCCAGCGTGCCAGACCTACTAAAATATTTACAGCACTGAAAGGAAGAATACTTAACCTTGTCAGAGCCTACAAAGTAAGCATTCTTATTTGTATCTCATCTACTGGGTCTAATCCAGCAGATATTTTAATTGCATGCTTTTTAGAATGAGTTCTGACAATAAGCAGGATCAGGAGAAGAAAAGGTGACAGTGCAACTTTTCTCCAGCAGTCCTACAGACAGTGTGTTGACTCTGGAAGCTGGAGACTTGGGTTTCCTTCCTGTGGAGGAAATAAAGGCCCCAAATAGTACTTTCCTTTTCTACACAGTGTAAAACATCTTCAACAAAAGAGGCAAAGACTGACTTCTAAATCCCTTCTGGCAAAAAATGTGCGTGTATGCACAAATGTACCCTCAGCATGCCTGAATCACCCCACCTGTGTTACGTCAGACAGCAGAAGCTTTCATTTGTGTATCCCTCACTCGTGCTGAGCGCTGTAATCCTGGTGTTGAATGAATGGGAAGGATGAGGAGCCTGCCCCTGCAGCATCAGTAACGTTGATAACAGCCAATTTACTTAGGCCCTTGATTTGTTTGAAGAGACAAGGGTCTACCTGCACTACATAAGTGGGCGGTTTCATTGCTGCTGCTGGGCAGAAACAGGAACAATAAAACGCCTTAACCAAGATTTTCTAGGAAAGCATTGGTAGGGATCTGTCCTTGCCTTGCTTTCCCAGAACTGCTTCTTTTACTGTAAAAATAAATGACTGTTTAACACCTGTTCACTGAATGAAGATATTTTCTGAGCTCACTTTTTGCAGTACACTTCGGAGAAGTAAAGTCATGTGCTTCAGAAGAGCTTTAAAGAGCCAAAATGAGATCAGTAAGGCTGTGCCTGGGTGCACACGTCCAACAGAGTATAATGTACTGCAGAGTTCAGTCCTCTGCCCTGACCATTTTCAAGTAGAATCAATATTGGGTTTTATGCCTTAAAATTGTTGCCCTCATTTAGGACATTATGGCTTCTAGAACCCTTTCTGTGCTTGGTGGGCAATTAAAAAGCAATACTTGCATCTGGTGAGTGAAGCAATAAGCAATTTGTTTAAGACCTTATGGTATGCATCTCTTGCGTCAGCTACCAGGCAGATTTAGGAAATACCTGAATGTATTTCTTAGCAGTATCAATCATCCGTCACCTAATGCCATTTTAACATAAGAGCTCACAAAAAAAAAAAGCTATTTCTTTTGAGAATTACTGCCTGGAATATATTTAACATTTATGGGAGGAGGCATAGTAAGATAGGTTCTTACTGGGAAGGAAGCAGCTCAGTGCCTCTCGGTCCCGTGAATGGTCTGTGAATTACCGTTATTAAAAATTGCTGAAAAGGAGTCTTAACTGCTTTGACCATTCTCTGTAATTTTAATTCTGAACATAGATTTAGATGATGACTCTATGAAATAGACATTCAGACTTATGTGATATGAATTTTTAGTTGATCAGGTTGTTAGGAATATTAAGGGTTTGATTTACATCTGCTTACCAAGCCAATACTGTAGAACCATTTTACTGAACTTAGGATCTGGTAACATAGAAAGACTCTGTTGCACACAATTATTGTGATTTTTGGCGTACCAGATCCGATTGCAAATACTCTCACAATTTTCTGAAACTCTTCTAAGAACATGATCAGTAACATTTGCTAGATATGTGGAGCTAAACTGGCGTTTTTTATGAAGAGCCGAGGGTCGTGCCCTAACATGGGATGTTTGTAATTTTAAAGCATTTGAGCATCACTAATCAAAATGAATGACACTGCAAAGACTTTGATAATTGTTTTCTATGTTTTTTTTTAAAAAAAAAAGATTATAGACTTATACTGATGAAAGAGTTAGTAGTTTCAACACCAAGAACATGAATGTTTGTCTTGATCAATTTGTGAAGGATTTTGTAAATTCCCTGGAAACCCAACTTGAAAGCATGACTCCAGGCGCAGTTTGGAACAACAAATTAGATCATGTAAATAGACTTATCCACTTGCAGTGCTTACAGGGCCACTATCCTTTGAATATCTGGGTGCTTCGTGATCCTTAATGTACTTAAATGAGTCACTAAACTGTTAAGACCACAATTCAAATTATTAGTGATTTATATAGAAAATTGAAGAAAGCTGATGTAATTATTCTATTATTCTACTGTACTTTGCAGGTCCTAAAATGGTTGAATTCCACAGTCAACAATTTCAGATCAACTCAAAGGATGGCAAGCCACTTTTTACAGTGGATGAAAATGAGGTTGTAATTGGTACAGATAAACTTCGAGTAACAGGTTTGTAACAGTTTAAGAAATGCCCAAATAACAGTCACAAGAAAAGCATAATAAAAATTACATTTTTAGATTCATCATTGTGTGTGAACACAAGTTCTGGTTTTACTTCATTAGGAAATAGAAATTTGAAGATGATGTGACCTTTTTCAATAATCAGTAAGAACTTTTAACAGCAAAATAATAATATGTATACATAAATATGTATATATCTCTGCATGTGAGTATTTTATTTTAAAGCCATTTAGTGATTGAACTGTACTGGTGTGGTTTTTTCTGAATTATTTAATATTTCCAGTGCACACTGTTAACTGAGGCTGGAAAAATTCTAGATATTCCAGTTCGAGTTGTATTGAGTTTTATTTGTGAAAACTTTTTAGGCTCTCTCTTATAATTCTGCATGGTTTTATCTTTCAAAGTGAAAGCCACTGTATTTCTGCTCTGTATGTAGCACATATGTCATGGGATGGTATTCGTAGTATATTTAAAATGCCATCTGTCAAAAGACAAGTTTGTCTTAGGCTATTTCTGCAAATGATGAAAGTACTCATTTACAAAGTAAGATGTCAAACTTATCACATGAAAATCTGTTTCCTTCCATATGACCTGGTAAAGTCAACCTAGGTGTAAGGTTGCATTAAAACAGATACATCAAGGTATGGTTTCTCTTTAAGCAGAAGAGTCCATCAAAGGAAATATTGAAATTATCCTGCAACTTGTTTTCAATTACATTTTTAATATTTTTAACCTGATTGCAACTATCATGTTTAACTTTTGCTAATTACTGGTCCTCTGAAATCTTGAGGTCTTAATTTGAATGGGTATATTCGTATTATTTCACTGTGCAAAACTACAGATGTGGTAGTAACTATACAATTAGAGTTTCAAAGCCAAAGTTAAGTTATAATAAATGTGTTAATAAATTTTGTTTACGCCTGAGGGTCTTATCTTAAGTTTTTTACTTTTTAACCTAATTGAAATTACAACTTTGTTTAAGCAGGAAACCATATCAAATAATTATTGTTTGCCCAAGGGATGCTAAACTTTAATAGAAAAGCATGTTTAACAAAGATATGAAAAACTGCATAATTGTTAACTGATTTGGAAAAGGTCTATCTCTGCTCAAAGTAAGTAAAAATCATTCATACACGAGTTGAAATTGTTATGCTAAAACATTTATACTGGCTTGTCCCATATTAATCTTTACACTGCAAAGATAATTGTTTACTTTGGCAGATATTGTTGAAAGACACATGGCGTGTTTCTTTTTTACACTGCAGTACAGTTCAAAAGCAAATCCATTAAAGCCAGTGAAGTTATTTCAGTTATTAATATAAGTGAGAGGAGATTCATGCCTACTTTACTTCAAATTAATTTATTAAAATTATGATTTAAATGATACTATTAGCATGAAGGATAAATTAGTCATACTTTGCTTACTGAGATAATTTTTTAAACATTTTAGATAGAGAACAAGATCAATGTGAAATAAATTTTTAAAAGTTCATACCATGAGAAACAGAATACCTCAGGCTTAAAATACACAAAGAACATTTTGCGTTTTTTTATGTACAATATAGTGAACGATTTGATTTTTCTTCTTATTTATGTGAATTATGAAAAGCTCAAAAACAATTTGTAACAAAATCTGACAGTTCTCAACTAAAATATAGTACAGCACAGAGCAAATTTCTGTGATTTATGGTATTTCAGGAAAAATGAAAAAGTTTAAGCATAAGCTAATCCAATCCAACACCTCAGGAACTGGCATTTTCTGACAATTTGGTATGTTTGACCTCATATTATATCAGTCAGACATTTTCTGGCCCATGTGGTAGAATAAAATAGTGGCAGGCTCTCTGTTCTCCTAAGAAGAGGAAACACCTGGGGAAAGCCATGATCAGGAAAGTGTCTCAGATACCCTACAGGGTCACAGACAGGTCTAGATGCCCGTGTTCAGACAAATGAATTGAACTTCCAGTCCACACAGTCAATGCAGCCCAAAGCATGAAGGGGACACCTAGACCTGGCACGTGGAGAGCTCTTCTGCTGACCAAATGCAGTTGTCTGCTTTAGGATGAGCAAAATGGCTTGTTCATCTCCCTTGAATGTAGTGGCTGAGTTCAGATACTTAAACATAAGCATCCTGCAGTGTTTGAAACACCTCAGGGTATGTGAGACACCACATTGTGTCATCGGACCTACAGGAGACACTTCCTTTGATCTCGGCAGCTGGAGGCCAGGCAGGAGGTACAAGGGTATTTAGACGACAATTATAGGTACATATGATTAGGGAACTAAATTCTGCCTCTGGCTTATCTGTGACACCTGCGTCAGAGACACTTAAATTCAAATGTATGAAACATGGCAGGGGGGTTGGAACTAGGTGATCTTTGAGGTCCCTTCCAACCCTAACCATTCTATGATTCTATGAAGCTAAATTTAACCCTTTGTGACAATTAATGCTACCTGAAGGTAGTTCACTAAACTACCAGAAGTTCACTGCTAAGTGTGGGCTTCAGTCTTCTCCAGTGAGGAGGCAATGCTCCAATGACAATGCTGTTTTAGAAAGGCAATTGGAAAGATTATTTTTAATTAAAATGCTGTAATTGCGGGGGTTTAGTGCTGACTCCAGTCCTCTCGAATTGCACAAGCTGAGAACTAGCAATACAATTGGGCTTCTCTGGGGAGTTTCTCTGGTCTCTCTCTACCCTCTCTGCCTTGTTTCTGAGCCGCAGAGGTGCTTAGACCAAAAAAACTGCCATCTAGGACCAGCAGACAGGTGCAGATTCCCAAAACAAGGAACTGCTTTAGTTCCAGCAGGGCTTGAGCAGCCATGATTGCACTCAGGCCTTACTAATCTCTCTTTGTATAGATGTTTGCTCCCCTCCTCCAGTCAATTTTGCTAGGCTCCTCCTTCTGACATCTCTCTGTGCATATCTGGTCATTATCAATGGAACAAGTCCAAACCTTGATAAAACTGAGAAGTTGGATTAGAAGAGGCATCTGATTATCAGCTCACATCCCTTTCATAGACAGACAAGTAGGTCGTATAATTTCTTTTATAATCTTACCAAGATACATCTCAAATGTAAACAAGCACTATTCATTTTTGTATCACCAAATGTGAACTTCTGTCCAAAAGGTGCTGTAGGAGATATACAAAAGACTGCATATAAACAGGTCCCAGAGTGAAATTAGGAAAGCCTGTGAGACAGAAGAGTTCCCTTCGCTACCATGATTTTTCTTTCCTTGTGCCTTGCAGCTCTGCAGATCCCATAGCAAGGCATCGTGAGGGCACCTTTGGCATGTGGCATCCCACATATGCTGCGAGGTGCCCCCAGCAGCCTGTCAGCCCACTCATGAGCAGGCTGCAGATCTAGTTTTGAGAATGGCTTTAAAAGTGACCTCAAGACTCAGTAAGGCATTCTGAATTTTAGTTAGAAGAGAAGAAGGTTTCTGAATAATAAAGTTTTGGAATGTTGTCAAAGCAAAGCATTCAAGATCAAAAAATATTGCTAGAAAAGTTAGTTTGAGCTTAAATAATTGGCAAGGGAGCTCATGTATAGAGAGGTAAGCCTAAACCTGGATGACCTGATAAATTCATATTTGCAAAATAATTGAGATATCTCTTTATTGGGAATTTGTCCTTTTCATTCCTGTCACTTCTTTCGCAGTGTCTGTGTCATGTGAAATCATGAGGAATTACTTTTTTTCTTCCACGTCCATGATAAAACTTTACATCACATTTGATCCCACTAGTAACACATCCCCTCACTCATCATTCTCTGTTTGCAATTATATTTTAAGACCTATCAGTCAATTTTAATCCATATAATGCATTCCAGGCTGATTTGTGTTGCTCTAATCTCTTAATCAAAATGTGATGTGTCATCAAAGTAAATGCCTGTGGAAGTTTATTACACCCATACTATTACCTTTATCAGCCAAGCTTGTCATCTCATTTACAATTCAAACATATAAATGTGTTTAATAATGTCCTACCCAGTGCTATACTGCATACAAAAAGGATGCAAGAAGTACAGAAGATGGTGTTTAATTAATCTGCTAGAGGACCTTAGTATTTTGTGCTTGCCTTTCATACTCTGGTACCTCAGCTTCTTGACTTTCACCTGAGTGTATATGAGAAAGAGTGCAACTGAATTTCTCGCATTTTTCCCTGAAGCCACTGATACAAATGTTTACAACCATGCTTAATTCCACTTTTAATCAGTTGTGGAACTACAAATTGATAATGATGAGCTGTAGTGATTATATGAATTTCTAAAGATGATAGAGGAATTATGTGAAAATCAGAGCACAGAGTAGAGCTTTTCAGAGTCTGCCCATGCTGGTGATGGCTAATGTGGAGACAAAATGCACCAGCTGCGTTTGAGAGACAGGTCTTTTCCTTTTGAAGTCATTATTTATTATTTTGTCAGTGGTAGCAGATAATAGACTGTGTTCATGTAGCTGAACTACTAGGCTCCACTTACCTTTTATTACTCTGATTGTTAGTCTCATAGCTAGATATGCCATGTCTTGATTCTGTCAATAGCCTTTATGTCACTTTTGCAAAATATTAGTGTGATTATTTCCTTCTCTAATCTTTCTAATAATTGAAACTGTATGGTTTGTAGCAAGTGGACTAAAGAAATTGATTTTTACACATGGATATAGCAGGAAAATTTATAAATGCAAACATAAGACTAGATTTTTAATAAAATGTCGTACCATCAGGTTGATGGAGCTGCTCCAGTATGCACTGTCTGTTTCAGCACTTTAAATCTGAGGATTGTTTCTACAGTAATGACACACCATAACATGCAAACAGTTACGGTGCTTTACAAATGTGCCACTCAAAATGCTTCACTGGAATAGAGGCTCTTCAAAGACAGGCTGGAAAGGCGAGGAAGGATGTGCCCTCTATGTGCGAGAGCAGTGGGAATGCACTGTGCTCAGCCTTGGGATGGATGAGGAGCCAGCTGAGGGCTTATGGGTCAGCGTTAGAGGGCAGATCAACATGGACAACATTGTGATGGGTGTGTACTGCAGACCACCTGATCGGGAAGAAGCAGATGAGGCCTTCTTCAGACAACTGGAAGAAGCCAGGTGATGATATGTCTTTTTCTTCAAAATAGTAGTGCTATCAAATGCTCAGCTTTTCCTACAGACCTTAAATAAGATGGAAATGGATCTTGTATCCTGAAACTGTGCCAAGATCCTCACTATGTGACACTACTACTTAGATATCAAGAAAATTGGCACAAAGTCAAATTCTACCACCATGGCCATCATACGTAAGAATACACATCAGTGTAGCAAGTCATGAAGTTTCAAACTCTGCAGTTTCATACAGTTGCCATTATAAGAAGCTATGCAGCTACTCTAAGAAAGGGAATTCACTTGTGTCATATCTTCATTATACCTCATCCTATGACACAGTACAGCTAAGCTGGTGCTGAAAATAGCTGAAAAATTTAAACAACTATCTAACAAAAAAGGAAATGGATTCCAAACCATACCCAAGCAGAAGAGCACACCATATAATGTATGTTGTTATAGTAGATGTATCCATGAGTAAGAAAAAGGAAGTGGGAAAAAAAGGAAATTTAAAAATGCCTTCCAAGGTCATCAAGCCAAAATCTGCATCCACAACAGCATTTTGTCAGTCAGGACTGCACTTTTGCTGCAGATTTGATGGTTCTAATAGTTCTCACATTCCACTACTTTATATCATGGAGGAATCAGGGAGTGAATACACTGGATTCCTTTTAGATGAAACTGAACTGAGAAATGGGCTCCAAGAATGCATTTACTTCATAAAATTGCAAATATGTTTTAAGTCCACAGGATGAGACTAGAGTTGGTTCAAAGTAAAATCCGTTAAATCTGTATAGCATGAGCAGCAGATCTTTAGATTTATCACTCTATAAATCCACCCTTTTCAGGTCGCATTGCCTCCTAACACAGACATACCTAAAGACTTCCCAGTACTACAGGTGGAAGACATGAAGGTCAAGCTATCTACCCTGATAAATCGTGTGCTTTGAGATCATTCAAAGTTACTGACAAGATAAGTCTTTTGCTAGCACAGGTAGTATTGTTACAGTATATTTTTCACTGAAATTACAACCCATTCACTGTAATCCAAGATGAAATTTTGAGCAAGGAAAACAGTGAAATGCTTGCTTTGCTAAGAATTGTCAGTTAGGACATAGTGCAATGAAGGACAGTGAGGGATTATGATATATTCTCAAAGGACCACAGTGGCAGAAGAATCACATTTGAGGCAGTGTCTGCTCAAAGAAAAACTAAGTCAGAAGTTTTGACAGATCAGCATATCCTTGCAAAATATCTTAGCTGTTCCAAATCAGCGTTTTCTGACAAACCTAATTCCTTAGGATTTTTTTTTCATCATCTCGAATGTGTAAGGTTGCCCACCTGGTAACACCTACCAGCACAGATAAAAGAACAGGTGAATAATTAACTGTATCTGTCCAGCCATTAGGTTTTATCTTGCAAAATAATGCTAGTATGGAAGGGTTAACGTCTTGTCTGAATTAGTGGATTTTATATTTTCCAGTGTTAGGAGATTCTAGAAAAACTTATCTATTTAAATTGATGATGAGTAGGATATCAACAGCTAAATAAAATAGAAGCTTAGAAATCCATGCTTCCTTGAAGTGGTGAAGTGATTCAGTATGGTAATTCTTGTATTTTGTATACTTTTCTTCCATACAAGGTAAGAAAATTTAATTCTAAGGAATCATGATTTCACCTAGACCTCTTCTCAAAAAGCACGTTTCATGCTTTCTTAGGACATTCTGAGAATTTACCCCCAGCCCTCATGCCCTCATGAAGTGACGGTTTTCCTGTCAGTTGGCTCAGCACTGTATTAATTTTTAATGATACCTCTTAATTTCACTTTTTTCTTTTTAGCATGTTCTCTATGGTTGCCCTCACTAATTTGTATTATGCTTTTCCCTTTATACCACATCTAATACCATCTAATACCACATCTATATCATCTACACCATACCTTCTGATCATCCATTTCCTCTTGTCTTTCCTTCCCTCTGCTTCATTCTACATGTACTTAAACCTTTTCATCCCAATCTCATCAGGTCTTCCAGGGAGAAAAAAAAAAAAAAAAAAGATTTTATTTTGTTTGCAAGTATTGCATTTAATATGTAAACTATGATAGACTATGAGCACACATTATTGTTTAATTAAGCACGCACATGTGTGCATGCATATTCTCCAGCCAGCAATTCAAGAGGCGTCTTAACAGTTCGTTTCTCTAGATGGAGTCCAAAGCCCTGACTTAGGGCTTTCTACAGCCCATGATTCTTTCCCAAGGGTAACTGCATTCTGTTTTAATTCAGAGAGCAACCAGAAAAGCCACATTGAGTAATATCCTAACTATTAAAATATATTGCCTTGCTACATATTTACCTGAAAAGTGCTTAGATATGTGAATCCTCTAAGCCAGAGAAGATTGCTCAACCTAACTAAGGCCTCCCCAGTTTTGGATGAGTACCGTCACAAAGCCAATGAACAGCAGGTGACTCTACCTTTACAGCAGCTGGTGGTGTTTAGCTGCTTTTTTGAGCCATGTCTGTTGCTGAGGGGCTTTTGTCCTATGCCAGCTAGTTCCCTGATCCCAGTGAAGCTTAGGCTGGAGATGGTCACTGAGCTGCTGATACTTCAGTGACACTAGCGCTCAGGAGAACAGAAATGGAGGTGCTTGTAGAAACTTCAGGTCCAACAGAGAGGCTGTTGGGTGCCTGCTTGTTGTGGGAACACTTTGGAGCTTGCAGTTTTGAGCAAGTTCTTTTGGTAGGCCATATCTTTAGTGCTGAAAATAGAAAGATAAAGAGTGGGGCACTTACATGAGACCTGCCTGCAGAGGGATGAGGCCCCTCTGTAAAGCCGCTCTGCACACACCAAACAAGGAGGCTCTGAAAGAGAGAGAAACATTACACTGACGATTTACATGGTCTGCTGCCTGGATGCATTTATCGAGTAATACTCATACTGATGAAGAGGGCTTGCAAAACAGGTTTCCTGTCTTCTAGCCAGATAGATACTCTAAATATCATCACATTATTTTGTGAGACTTAGATACTGCTACCTCCTTCTCTTCTCCCAGCAGCTATATTTGGAGGGGAACTGGAGGATGTTACTGTGTGGAAACTGGCGATGTGAACATGGAATATTTAGGCACTTCATTAACTATCTGACCACAATTTTTTTTACAATCTGTATTGCTCTCTTGAACCACAGCACCTTGGGCCTGGGTTGAAAATTGACTGCTGTGCTGTTATAGGTAGCCTGAATTCCTAATTAAGTTAAATGTCCAGGACCTAAAATAGATGCAATTCCTTATTTGTATTTATCCTCTAAGCATTCAGTCTTGCTTCTGTTTCATGCTATAAATGCTCAGAGGAGGACCAGCACCCTTTGCATGCTGCATTCTGTGCCATGAATTCCAGTCTTGAAAATTACTACTTCTTGCACAAATTAACTTAGAACCACAAAGAAAGAGAACATTGTAAGAATGAAAACACTAGATGCAAAGAAAGTGCAAGGTTAAAAGTAGGTGGGCCTCAAAGAAAAATTAGAAAAAATGACTTGTGACAACAAAGCCATGGACTCTGATTTTCAGGAAGGTACTGATATTAAGGTGATGAGGCCACATAGTAGCCTCTTACTTTAGTAGCCATAAGATCCTTTACAGAAAGGATCTTATGAACATTTTGAGAATCTGCAGCCGTGAACTTCATCTGGGTTCGTTATGTCAGGGCTTTGAGAGGTATTTTCCTGCAGCAGCACAACGCAAACAGTCCTTTCATACTGATAACTTGCTTTGCCCCACCTACACATGTACCACCACACAGAGGTAATCACTGTTTCTTCCCTGTTGGGATGAAACTACTCTTATTTCAAGAGGTAAACTATTTTATCCCATAGTCATTACAATTTTACGTGCATAAATACCATTTTATATTCAGCAAGCCTGACTAAAAGTAGGGGGATATCTTTGATGAAGCTACATGCCAGAATTTGTGCTATGTATAGGATAGTCCAAAGTAAATATGAGTATTTAAGTCTGTAATATTTGAAAAGATTTTGTGGGATTTCAAATATTGCTGTTAACTCTAATTGAAGTTACATTCTAAAAATTTTATTTACTTATTTCGTTGTCCCAAGTAGTTTAAAATGTCTATCTCCAGACTTTTTAGATTTCAAGAATTTCCACTTGTACTTTTACATTACCTGTGTATTGTGTTGTTCCAGTCAATACTATGATAGCAGAACTATATCTATATTTCAATTATCTCATTAATTGTTAGTATATGTTTTTGTATCTTAATTTCTGATATCAAAGTGGCCATATAAATCACTGTTGCTATTTTTTTTACATTTTAACTTTTACAGTATAATGTTTTTCTTTTTTTGCAGGGCCTGAAGGAGCACTTTTTGAACATTCTGTAGAAACACCACTTGTGAAGGCAGAAGCTTTTAAACAGCTTAGGTAAGAATTTATGCATAAAAACTTATATCTAATAAGTAAACATTGTTTGCTATAGCTATTGACTTTTTTCTGAACAAGGAATTTTCAACAGCAGTTATAGAACTACTAACTTTTTTTTCTATTTTATCTGACAAATTATTGTTTTGAAGGAAAATTATACATTGCTCTGCAATTTTGAAGTATATTATGAATGATTTATTGCTGATAGGGAATATTTAAAGCCACATAAAATACGGTGGAAAGTCTTTCTGTAAACTCTTTTTCAATTTTGAAACACTTAAATGTGACTTTTTCTCCAGTAGAAGTTGCTTGTCTGAATTAGGTAATTGACCTATAATTAGTCAAGATTTTAAGAAACTAGTATCAATCTGAGGAAAAAGACTAATAAGAAAAATTTGGAAATTTGCAAAGCTCAAACTAAGAAGCAGTTGGAGTGAGAAATGCATTGTCAAGTACCTTGTATGTTTCAGAGCTTCTTAACTCTGGAATAGCATGTCTTGGTGCATTATTCTATGTAATTTTGAGTATCCAAAATTAGTTTATATTATGTTGGTTATGATGAGGTAATAAACTCAATTTGCATTTTGTTCATGAACATCTGATGTTTCATTTTATAAGCCAGTTCAAAGATCTTTCTTGATTTGAAATGAAAGAGGTTCTCTTTAACAATTATACTTCTGTCCTTTCGTATCTTGGCAGTCTGCTACTTTCTGTCACAATTTCTCAGTGTTTCTTTTCCAATAATGATAACTATTAGAGAGTAGCAAAAGATAATTAAATCTTTCAAGAGCACTGTCTGTATCTTGGTGACTGAATTTTCAAATTGATAATGGCAAACGAGAGGGAGACTATTAAGATAATTCTTTTAATTTTCTCCTTGCTATTTAAGATTTACTTACAGTAGGATACCTTGTGCTTGCATTTGAAGGCAGAATGAGCTCAAGACATTAGTTTTCACATGTTGAACTCCGCTTTCAAGAATGTGTTCCTTCTACTATGTTAGAATTTGGATGTGACAGACTTTGACCAATGTGTAGGATTCTGCATGGTAGTGAACATTGTTTGGTTTTGGAGGGAGTGGATTCATTATGTTGTAAATTTGTCATTTCCTGTGATCATCTCAATTTTGATAAAGTAGGACATCGAATTTTGTAACTACAAAGCCAAGCAGCTGTGCAAATTTTAATTGGATACATATAAATTATTTTCTGTGGTTGTTTCTTTGCTTCAAATGCATCATCAATTAATATTTTAATAGGCTTAAAGCTAATCGTTTTATCCTACAGTCATTATGCTGTGTTATATTTTAAGTTCCTATCTGCACTTCATTTTAAAACAATTACACCATTTCAGACTGTGTACAACTATTGTTATTATAAATTTTTCATCTCTTTTTGAAATAAGATATCATTTGAAGGAAAACACTGAGATTAATTCAAAATATTTGTAAAGTTATCCTGCATGGATGAGTTTACCTCGCAACTTATCTCTTTATGATTTTGACCATGACAAATATAAACACATGGTTTGATCTAGAATGTTGCTATGTGTTAGCAGAGCTTGAGTGTAATAGTTAAAATCCCATTCAGTTCTGTCTTCTATTAACTTAAAATAGTAGGAATTACAGATTCTTGTAGAATTTAGAGAAGTTATGCTAATAATAATTATTATAATATCAACGAAGTACCTATATGGCCACATCGACACTGACACTTGTGGCTGGTGTTAGTATCTGCCATGAATAGAATCATAGAATGATTTGAGTTGGAAGGGGCCTCAAAGATCATCTAGTTCCAACTCCCCCTGCCATGGGCAGGGAAACCCTCCACTACACCAGCTTGCTCAAAGCCTCATCCAGCCTGGCCTTGAACACTGACAGGGATGGGGCATCTGCAGCTTCTCTAGGCAGCATGTTCCAGTGCCTCACCACCCCAGAGTGAAGAATTTCTTCCTTATATCTAATCTAAATCTACTCTCTTTCAGTTTAAATCCATTACCCCTTGTCCTGTCACTACACACCCTTGTAAAAAGTCCCTCTCCAGCTTTCCTGTAGGCCCCCTTTAAATATTGGAAGGCTGCGATAAGATCACCTAGGAGCCTTCTCTTCTCCAGGCTGAACAGCCCCAACTCTCTCAGCCTGTCTTCAGAGGAGAGGTGCTCCAGCCCTTGGATCATCTTCGTGGCCCTCCTCTGGACCCCAGCAGCAGTACTGCTTTCAGGTCTGGGGTCCCCAACATAAGAAGGATATGGACCTGGCCGAGTGTGTCCAGAGGAGGGCCACAAAGATGATCCGAGGGCTTGAGAACCTCTCCTACGAAGACAGGCTGAGAGAGTTGGGGTTGTTTAGCCCGGAGAAGTGAAGGCTCCAGGGAGACCTTATAGCAGCCTTCCAGTACCTAAAGGGAGCCTACAAGAAAGCTGGAGAGGGACTTTTGACCAGGGCATGTAGTGATAGGAGATGGGGTAATGGCTGTAAGCTGAAAGAGGATAGATTTCTATTAGATATAAGGAAGAAATTTTTTACTCTGAGGGTGATGAGGAACTGAAACAGGTTGCTCAGAGAAGTTGTGGGTGCCCCATCCCTGGCAGTGTTCAAGGCCAGGTTGGATGAGGCATTGAGCAACCTGATCTAGTGGAAGGTGTCCCTGCTCATGTCAGGGCGATTGGAACTAGATGATCTTTGACGTCCCTTCCAATGCAAACCATTCCATGATTCTATGAATACAGCACTCATGCATGTCCTGGCTGGACTTGAGAACCTGAAGCTTACACAGAGAAGTTCAAAATGCCTCATTCCTTTAATTTATTTTTTTTTTTCTGTCTTTACCACCTGTAATCAGTGTCAAGTCTGAAAGCAGAGATGAGATTGATTCCATAGAGGGCTTCTGAGGAGGTTTGAGAAGCAAATGCATTTGTCTGCAGTGCAGATGCTAAGTTAAAATGTAGACAGAGAAGAGCAATTTACCAGGCTTATGCTGGAAAAAGTTTATTTTCAAGAATAACCTTGAACGTCAGTGTAAACAAAATTCATGCATTCAGTTGGAAAGGGGCTGAGACAAGTTTACCAATAAATGGTAATTTTGCAATGCTTTATAAATATTCTATTTCAGTCCATTCTTAAATACAGGAAGCTACCTACTGAAAAGCACTTCAATATGAAAATTAAAAATGCAATTTTAAGTAGTACTTTTCTATTTTAAATTTGAATATGTGTCCTTTCCAGATTAAGGTATTGAGTTTCAAGTTATAGGCAATATAACCTATTTGCTCACCTCAGGCTTTATCTCCACACTTTCACCATCTATTATTCTTCTGCTGTTTTTCCTCTGTTTTTTCCTTCTGTGGTTGTGCTGTGCCATGTGAATGTGATATGCTGGGTGAATGTAATATAAAGTGCCACAGTAGACAGCATTAACTATAGGGAATACTGCTCCAAGAAAGCCCATCCACTTCAAATGTAGTTGCATGTTTCAAGGAGCCGACTGGAAAGCTGTCAACGCTCATAACTTTTCAGCACGTGTCATATGAACGGAAGCCACATTCATTCTCTGCCATTCAGATGTAGGGCAGCATCACAAACAAAGCTGACACAAACGTCCTTCTGAATTACACATTCTGCTGGCTTTCCTGTCCAAATGCCGAATTTCAAGATAGACCACTTTTCTGGAAACAAATAGATAGGTGTGTTAGAACATATCTTTTTATAGCTAAGTAATGGAGACAGAGCAATGCAATTATACTGTGGTCAGTAACTGCCTGTTCATCCTGTAATTTGAAGGAAACATATAGAGTGCTTTTCAGTCTAACAGATTGAATTCATGACTCACCTGTGAAAAAAAAAGAGATATGCTTGCACTTATTTCCAACTGGTAGGAAGGATTATAATAACAAAATCTACATTTCAAAGTCTAAGCATTCCTAGGATTAAAATAACTTTGCCTACTTTTGAATTCCTTTCCTGGAGTTTTTATCTCTACATTAGATACCTAGTTTCCATTTACAGAATTTATTAAGACTTGAGACGTAGTGGAGACATAAAAACAAGGTCTCACATGTAATTAGTGTCTGACGAACATTCTAATGGCATAGCTACAGTCAACAGGAAGATTTGGATATATCCAGGAAATATCCTCTCCAGATAAACACCACTGAGGTTGTACCTGGTTAAAATTTGCCACTTGCGATGAGTGAGAACAGAATTATGTCTGGACTCTTACTTCTCTCTGCAGTTCAGTTGCCTGGTGTAGTCAAGTGCCTACACAGCTTCCAGGTGCTGGAGTGCTTCTTTGACATCAAGCGCCTATCTGTTGGGACATATCTCCCTTCCTTTGGCCGACCCTGTTCTTCTGTATGGTCATGGGACCACAGGACAGCAAGCAACAGGAAGCATAAGTTGTTCTTGTGTAGGGCATTCAGCAAAGAGTAGGAGGAGACCAGAGGGTTTCAGTTATGATTTAAAAAGTTATCCTGGAAGAAGAACCAGATGGATGTCCTGACCACTAGGTTATCTTCTCTTTATTTGCTCTGTTTCTTGCCAGATTACTTGTTTGTGCAAAGACTGACATTCAACCCAGGGATGGCCATAATCCAGCTCTATACTCCTGTCAGACTGTTTTGTAGTCTGGTAAATAGAGATGACAGATACAGGTTTTGTTCCTCTCAAGATGAGGAGGAAATTGAACCAATGCTTCATAATTCATTGCTGAATAGCAAAATCAGTAGAATTTTATTGTATGCAATATAACATTATATATATTATTATATATTTTTTATATATTAATATATTATGTAGAATATTATAACAAGATGGAAAGAGTTATCTCTTCTATGGTTTTCCATGAAGGTGACCACAGCCCTTGTGCTTTAGTGTGTGTTTGACGTGTTGACAACTTGCCTCAATCAGGTCTCCTGGGGCTTCCATGGACTTTAGCTGCCACCTCTAACTGAATCACAGCAAAATTCTAAAGAAAACCAGGTACCTTGCTTTCAAAAAGAAGGAA